CTATATATATAATTATAAATTTTTCATGTTGGATCATTTTCATCATAAACACTTATAATAGTAACAGATTAATGATAAAGGCATCATTTTGAAACAAGCCAAACTATATTGAATATGCTTTAAAATAAGAATACAAATCAAACTTATAAGAGGAGTATTTTTTCTACAAACATTGTAGTACAGTATATATAAAAACATTCAAAAAAATTTATTACACTAAATTATAATCAATGAGCGATTCTCTTAATACTCTCGGGGCTTTATACAAATGCCAATAAGGAGACCTTTCAGATTAATTAAAAATATTGATTTTCAGATCAATACTTTTACAGTTTTGTACAAAATAACATTCTTATCAATAGAAATATTTTAAATTTAAAATCAATATTTTTAATGTCATTAAACCTGAAAAAGTCCAAATTCCTTTCTCATCCTACATGCAGTATGTTTTGCATATAAACTATATATAAAAAATACTGCATTTTGTAATAATAATACAACATACAGATAATTCATAAATTAATCAATCTTCATTGTAATTAAAGATTTTATCAAATTTTTCCTTACCGTAATGATTTTAATAGATTAATTGCTTCCAAATTTTTTTTCTCATAATTTGTGATAATCAAAATGTACTTTAAAGTGTAAATAAATGAAATAGAGTGGATCATAAATTTAGATAAACTTATCTTACTTTTCAATCATCGAGCTAAGATGTCACCTTACTTTGAAACACTTTTAAATCTGCAAAACGAATAGACACTCAACACCTAGAAGGTATATGGCTGGATATCATCTATCTCTACCTGTTACAATTTATATCTATTGAAGTTTATTTAACCATCAATTACAAACCCCATTTACCTAAAAAGTAACATCAATAAATGTTTATAATTGTGGATAAAGTAATGCAATTTTCTGCAATTACAATTATTATTATAATAATCAAAACCATACCCATTTTATTAGTTCTATGTAAAATTAATTTAAACATTGTAGACAAAATATAAATAAAAACAATACGGGTACTGCAATACGCACGCACCCATATTGCTCATACGTGAGTGAGTATACAGAGTTTAAATTAGTTTATATATTTTTTAATATTATAAAAGTATTTGCATATTTCAAAAACATGCACACATGTATGTATGTACGTATGATTGATTCTGTATCATCATTGAAAATTAGAAGTGTAGGTTGAAGTTACCTTGGTAGTCCCAATGGCCGTGCTTCGGTTAGCTTAGGTAGGTTAGAATAGGTTAGGTTAACAACATTTTTAGGAGATAGAAGAAAAGAATACCTAAAAAGGAAAGAAGAAAACGTCTACTAAAAATGTAGTTAACCTAACCTAACCGAAGCATGGTCATTCGGACTACCAAGGTAAACTATAACCGAAGTGTACAATTGAAATGAACACAATTTGAAGTGAAAAATGCTGAATATATCTACAAATGTGACTGATCATGATGACTACAAGTCCAAATTTAGCAGATAACCCACCAGAATTGTTAAACAGGAGTATTTATGGCTTGCATAAATTAATGCACTAATTATTATCACTTTTTATACTAAAAATATATATATAATATATAAATACCTGCTGAGCAACTGGTTCCAAAATACTTTCAATAGTTTTAGTATGAAAAACAGGCATGTTAGCTGTTTAAAATTTGCCCAAATTAAATGTTATAAGTAAGCGAGAGGCGCATAGATTACGTCTTGGTCGTCGAATACCATCAGATAAGTGGTTTGCTGCTTATTCTTGCAGGAAGACGAGACGCCCACACCCTACTCACCCTCTCTCTCCACCGACTCTGACAGACTAACTTCGTTACATTACGGCATGCCATGTAAAAATTTCGTTAAAATATTATTCGAACTAATAACATTTTTCCGTCAATGTGAATATTATATTATATATTAAATCGAACAATTTAATCATTTTAAAAGTTTTTATATATATATATATAAATGATCGAGGATATAAAAAAATACTATCCGCGGATGTCTGGCAACTTTCGAGTGCAATGTTTTCTAATTCGACAAAGTTGCCAGATTGGAAATTTTTAAAATTTGTTTTTTCAAATTTCTCTCAAAATTCGTGATTATTAATTACTTATTATTTTTATTAAATTTGACTTTTTCTGAGATTTATTGATTCGAAAATAATTTATGAGCGAGTGAGTGCTGAAAATCACTTGATGATAAACTTGTACGGGCGGCCGGAGCGGTTAAACTGACGGCCTTCCGCTCTGGAGGACCCGAAAAATTTCAGTTTTGCAGAAAATTTTTTAGTTGTTATTAAATTAATGTTACTGGATGTGTAGTTCCTCGATATTGGAATGGTTGTAATGCCCATCGCCATCTATTGATAAAATTTGTAACTTTTTTTAGTGAATGTTTTTCGCATATCTGTCTAGAACAGTATGCCGTCACAAAGGTGGAGGTGTGACGTAAACTTTTACATATGCTATTAATTTCAAGTTTTATTTATATATTTTTATTATAATTGCTGTATTTTTTATGCTTGTATTTCATTCTCTGCCACAGCACTGATGAAATAAGACGATGTTTGTTTATTCTTTATTACAAGCCACGCATTTTTATGTATTCTAAGAAATTACATGTAAAATAAATTTGCTCACAGGTGTTGGTCTGTTCAATAACAATAATAATAGGTTCGTGGCATTATTTAATTCTATTAATAGTATCATATCATACGTTTTTGAGGAAAATAACATTTTGGTGTGCCGTGTTCAGTCATAGATGTGCCGAAGAAGAAAAAGGTTGCGGAACATTGGTCTAGAATAGTGTTTCTCAACCTCTAACGAGTCGTCGCCCTCTTCAACGTAGTATCGCCCCCATCAATAAAACCGTTATGTAGTATCGCCCCCTTCACTACAAAATTACGATGCCGAGGGCCAAGGCTAACGCCAAATTCGTACTGCATCGAATAGACTAGTGACTAGTATAATGTTTTTTGTTTAATTATTGTACGATATGACGAATAAAATATCTAATTATTCTTAATATAATGTTTTACTATATCGCCCAGAAAATTGTTTTNGGTCGTCGAATACCATCAGATAAGTGGTTTGCTGCTTATTCTTGCAGGAAGACGAGACGCCCACACCCTACTCACCCTCTCTCTCCACCGACTCTGACAGACTAACTTCGTTACATTACGGCATGCCATGTAAAAATTTCGTTAAAATATTATTCGAACTAATAACATTTTTCCGTCAATGTGAATATTATATTATATATTAAATCGAACAATTTAATCATTTTAAAAGTTTTTATATATATATATATAAATGATCGAGGATATAAAAAAATACTATCCGCGGATGTCTGGCAACTTTCGAGTGCAATGTTTTCTAATTCGACAAAGTTGCCAGATTGGAAATTTTTAAAATTTGTTTTTTCAAATTTCTCTCAAAATTCGTGATTATTAATTACTTATTATTTTTATTAAATTTGACTTTTTCTGAGATTTATTGATTCGAAAATAATTTATGAGCGAGTGAGTGCTGAAAATCACTTGATGATAAACTTGTACGGGCGGCCGGAGCGGTTAAACTGACGGCCTTCCGCTCTGGAGGACCCGAAAAATTTCAGTTTTGCAGAAAATTTTTTAGTTGTTATTAAATTAATGTTACTGGATGTGTAGTTCCTCGATATTGGAATGGTTGTAATGCCCATCGCCATCTATTGATAAAATTTGTAACTTTTTTTAGTGAATGTTTTTCGCATATCTGTCTAGAACAGTATGCCGTCACAAAGGTGGAGGTGTGACGTAAACTTTTACATATGCTATTAATTTCAAGTTTTATTTATATATTTTTATTATAATTGCTGTATTTTTTATGCTTGTATTTCATTCTCTGCCACAGCACTGATGAAATAAGACGATGTTTGTTTATTCTTTATTACAAGCCACGCATTTTTATGTATTCTAAGAAATTACATGTAAAATAAATTTGCTCACAGGTGTTGGTCTGTTCAATAACAATAATAATAGGTTCGTGGCATTATTTAATTCTATTAATAGTATCATATCATACGTTTTTGAGGAAAATAACATTTTGGTGTGCCGTGTTCAGTCATAGATGTGCCGAAGAAGAAAAAGGTTGCGGAACATTGGTCTAGAATAGTGTTTCTCAACCTCTAACGAGTCGTCGCCCTCTTCAACGTAGTATCGCCCCCATCAATAAAACCGTTATGTAGTATCGCCCCCTTCACTACAAAATTACGATGCCGAGGGCCAAGGCTAACGCCAAATTCGTACTGCATCGAATAGACTAGTGACTAGTATAATGTTTTTTGTTTAATTATTGTACGATATGACGAATAAAATATCTAATTATTCTTAATATAATGTTTTACTATATCGCCCAGAAAATTGTTTTTCGCCCCCAAAATATAAATTGTTACTAATCGCCCCCTCAACATGGAAAAACGCCCACATGGGGCAATATCGACCCCGTTGAGAAACACTGGTCTAGAATATCCATTCTCAAAATTTAATTGTTTTTCAAGCTTTAGAAATATTTTCAGTCGTCCAACTTTTTAAATATGTTGGATGGCCTCAATATGGGACTAAACTGGCTATAAAACTTTGATGAATTATCCAATTCAGAAATATTTGGATAAGTTACGAAATGTAACATGAAAATCTGCCATCATACGCCCATATCATCTATCTAAATTCTTTTTTTTTTGGTAAATTTGAGAAATATTTTTTACAAAATGAAAATTAGTTTTTTTTGTCTTTTTTCAGTCTTTTAAAAAATATTTAAAAGACTGAAAAAACAAAAAAAAATCTCAATTTTCACGTTCTTCAGTGGCCGAATGAATAAAACCACTAAACTCTGTGGACTCGCAACTCACAAACAAGCTGGCCACGTGAAGTTTTCTGGGTTTTCTACACGTTTTTATCATCTAAATGGGGCCAGTTTTCCATAGTTCTCCCGGGAGACATCTCTCTTTGGCATGGTTTAGAACAACTCAACTCCATGCCAAAAGGCCCATGTATTGAGTTGCTGATTTCGCATAAATATGAAAATTGCGCAGTGTTAACAAGTAACATTGTTATGACAGGCATATACTTACAGATCGACAATGTATATAATACGCAGTAAATACGATGCAGTTTAGGCCTATGAAGGAAATAAAAGGTTGCATGTTGTTCTCTATTATATGTATTTTCTTAGCATAATGTTACCGTTGAGAACATATCACACAGGAACACTTTCAGAGGAAAAAGGTTGTTTTATTGGTTCACTCCAATAAAACAACCTTTTTTCTCTGAAAGTGTTCCTGTGTGATATGTTCTCAACGGCAACATTGTGCTAAGAAAATACAAATAAAAGGTATCCAGTTTCCTATGGAGAAATTTTGTCCCAATATTTATTTCAATAAAACAATCGACTAGACAATGTTGTTCTTGTACGTTACAGACAAATTCTTCTTAATTAAGAAGAAGAAAAATTATTCTGAACCAAAATTATAGGGTGGGCCCCACTACCAAAGACTTGTATAAGTTGGCATCACTAAATGAAACGTTTTGGCGTGACAGTTATAATTAGCTATAACAGATTCAACACGCCTATCTTTTTCCTGTTACAATATTGCAGAAAATTTGAAACTTTGATACATGTGTGACCGTAGGGTCGGTGTCTCCTTGACACCGCGTCAGGATGTGACACCACCGAATTTCGCAGGATTCGGAAATCGCGACTTTACGTCACGCGAGCGGTAGCGGGTGAGCGGTTGGATTCGGAGTAGAGGTGAGGAGAGAGACGTGGAAGTGATTCACTCGGATTCCATATTAATTAACAATAACAATTTTAATTATAACAAAAGAAAATACAGATATATTCGATATCAAGCATGACTAACGTTCCCCTTAATTATTACTAGCCCGTTCGAGAGAGAGAGTTTACAAACGAATCGCGTGTTGATAAATACCTTGTAACTGAGTCGAAGATCTGTTATAAGATGACTGGATAAACCGTCGATAGAATGTTCGAGGTTCGATGAAATTGTGTTGGGTCTTTAGAGTGTCCGACAACAGGAGCACTACGGTGTGGAGGCACGGAGGTGAGGATGTGTGTAAGATATCCTTAAAAAGACACGATCTTTTCACGGTATTAATTTTTGAGGAAGCAACTTGGGAAGACGACTTCTGAGCACCACTCTTCAATTCTTGGGCTGCTTCTTGGTTTTTTCCATCAGGTCAGGAGGTTGCTGTTAAGGACCTAGCGTCCAATACTAGAATTTTATCGAACGTTCCGGGTGACGCATTAATGACTAAATGGTTCCTCCTCAACAAGGAACCAAATCCGTGGAAAATAATTTTTATGGATTTTAGCCTAACTTGATAAAACGATCGAAGTTAGACGATGGAATTTCAAAATAATTAAAATTTAAATAACACTTTATTGAGATTACTTTCTGTGCGTCCTTCATACATGTCTGTGCGGTCAAGGTGGCAATCTGCCGCTCTGGAGAATGCGGGATCTAATCTGGACGGGTCGAAAAATCTCCAGGAAATTTTTCGGAGGGTGGTCCGTTCGGATATGTCGGGCCCCATCCCTTACCACCCAGCCGCTCCATTGTGGGTCTGGCCAAACCCATAAATGGGCTTACAAAAAGAGGCCTTCTTATGCCCATGGGGCGAAAAGAGTTTTAAAAAAAGTGGGGACGAAAGAGAGAAAGGTGATAACCGTTAGTGTGGGAAAAGTCACCCGTGTGGCTATATCCCTGATTTTTATGAGTCGTTGTAGAAAGCTGCAGCTTTGTTTTTATGATATTCAAATATGGCTACTACCACACTCGCTGAATAGTGATAATACAACATGTATAATAAACTAATTTTATTTTTAATGATAGCGTATTAAAAGCAAGAAAGAAAAAATATGATTTCAGAAAGACTAGGAAAAAATTGGAAAATGCGGGTTTTTATTGAAATTATAAGTTTAAAATGCAAACAACACATTTTGTTAATGTCTATTGTTAATTTCCG